TGCAGGGGACGCGGGTTCGTGCCCCGGTCCGGGAAGATCCCACATGCGGCGGAGCGGCTGGGCCTGTGGGCCATGGCCGCTGAGCCTGCGCATCCAGAGCCTGTGCTCCGCAACGGGAGAGGCCACAACAGTGAGAGGCCCACGTATTGTAAAAAAAAAAAAAAAAAAAAAATACATGGTCTTACATAATATGACTGAAAACATGCAAGTTTAACAAAAGGGCATATTGTTGTGGGTTTTGTTTTGTTTTTGGCCACGCAGCTTGCAGGATCTTAGTTCCCCAAACAGGGATCAAACCCATGCCCCCTGCAGTGGAAGCACAGCGTCTTAACCACTGGACCTCCAGGGAAGTCCCAGAAGGGACTTTCTTTTAAGACTGGAGATACTAACAGTATTTAAATGCTGATTGAAAGGAGCCCATTGGGAGTGAGATGATGAAAGAGAGGAGATAATGGGTAGGAAGGTCTCTGGGAAGTGGTGAGGAGATGGATTCCAAGCCTGAGAAAAGCTGAGCCTGGGGTGGGAGCCACCTCTCCCCACACGAGTGGGTAGCAATGAAGATGTGTACCATCAGTGAATGAGAGATGCTGCCGAGAGTGGGCAGGGCTGGTGGCAACAAGCTGAGGGAGCGCCCATCTGAGGGCCTCCACTTTCTCCATGGGACAGGAGAGGAGGCAGGGTGGCTGCTGAGAGAGGGTCAGAGTTTGGGGGTATAGCTTAGCGAAGATCCCCCAGGTGGCTCCCCGAAAGGCCCCCTCGTCACTGCGGTACTCATGACAAAGGTTTTCATTACTGTGGGTCAGCGTCACAGTCCAGAAGCTAGCGCTTAGCCCTATGATCCAGAAGCCCGACTGTGTCAGCCACAGAAAAGGGCTCCATCTCTCAGGGGCTGACTCCCATTGCCCCAATTCAGGGACCAGATGTATAAGCCCAGGATGCCTGCACACTCAAGTATGATAAGAAATTGATCTACCCAGACAGCATCCTGCCTAACCAGCAAGATGGCTCCAAGCAGAAGACCAACAGGGTACCCAGATTATAATCAGAAAGATGCTAATCAAATCCATTGAATGTTTAATCACAATAGGCTGTCCCAGGCTGACTCCCTTTACCTCGGGCGGGGACTTTGCCAAAGTCAGCTTTCTTTTTCTATGCCTCCAGGGCTGACCCATCCTCTTTTTTTTCCATAGATATGCTAGTAAATTCAATCAGGTTGAGGGTGGTTCCTTTGCCATGGAGCCTTTCTGTCCCTTCAGGACTGTGCCTTTTTGTCTATCTCCGAGCTCATCTACTCTGGGTGAGTGTCGTAAGCCCCAGCACTGACGGCATAGAATTGGGCAAAGTGTACTGAACACTTAACATGCATTACTAGGCACTGAGGGCTGGTGGGCTGCATCTACCTGTTCAGTGCTGAAGTGCAGGGTGGGGGTTACAAGTTTTTACTGTAAAAAGCCAGAAAGTGTCAATGCTTTCTGCGTGTGGCCAGGTCTCTGACAACTACTCCACCAAAGCACCAAAACAGACAATACGTAAACAAATAGGTGTGGCCCTGTTCTAATACTACTTATTTACAAAAGCAGGAAGCCGCCGGCAGACTGTACTTTGCCCACCACTCCCATCCCCTCCCCCCATGCACACAGCGCTAGCCCCCGGCACAGACAAGCACACACTGAGTGCTCGATACATATTTGTAGGCAAGGAATGGCGGTCTGAGGGCTTTCTCCCTAAGTCTATCGTGACTTCTTTGTTTCCATAAATTTCTCCCCATGTTGACGTAACCACCGAATTGGGCAGATGGAAGGGATCTAAGGAGGGAAGGGGGGGTTGTGAGCTAGCATGATTTTCAGAGCTGTCCAGGCGTTTACTTTGCGAATGGATCATTCTGTGACTAAAGGCCTTTTTAAAGATGGCCTACCTACCCTCCTTAATTGGGGGGGTGCTTAGAAGACTGCCCTGGCTGGGCTAAGGCTCTGCCTGCAGCCTCGTGTGCTCTAAGCCTCAGATTCCAGCTTCTTGAGGGCAGGTACCCTGTCTCTTTCTCTCCCTGAAGCACCTTACTCAGGGCAGGGACTAAATTAATGCTCTCTTGGTACTAAACTGACTCTGGGGTTGTCCAATTGTAGATCATTTGTTTCCTCTTTATATTTTCCCCATTTTTCCAAATTTCCTACAACTATTATGCTCAGAAACAACAAAATCAAAATCTTTGTTAGAAGAAAACCAAAGAATTGATAAAATAACCAGAGCAATCCGTCAGCCTTAGAGTTCACTGGTCCCTGTTTCAGATAGAGACCTTTCTGGTTGGAAATGAGTAACTCTTCTTGTGACAAAGAAACGAGGGTACTTCAGTTCTGATCGCAATAAAGCCTGCTGTTTGTCTTTGGACTTCTAGGAAGAGATCTTGATCCTTTACGTGGTAGCAAATAACTAAGACTATTTACAAATCCTTCCTCTGGGCTCTTTATTTATTTATTAAAAAAAATTTTTTTTTGGTTGTGTTGGATCCTTGTTGCTGTGCGCAGGCTTTCTCTAGCTGCGGCAAGCGGGGGCTACTCTTGGTTGCGGTGCGCGGGCGTCTCATTGCGGTGGCTTGCTTGTTGCGGAGCACGGGCTCTAGGCACGTGGGCTTCAGTAGTTGTGGCATGTGGGCTCAGTAGTTGTGGCTCGCGGGCTCTAGAGTGCAGGCTCAGTAGCTGTGGCGCACGGGCTTAGTTGCTCCACGGCATGTGGGATCTTCCCAGACCAAGGCTCGAACCCGTGTCCCCTGCATTGGCAGGCGGATTCTTAACCACTGCGCTGCAAGGGAAGTCCCTTCCTGCGGGCTCTTGACTTGCAGAGGATGTTGTCAGCACCCAGGCCGCTGTTGAGGGTGTAGTAAGGTTCCTGAGTCTACACCAGGCTCTGCTTTCAGAAAATTTAATCCAGAACTCTCCAGCACATTTAAGAATATGGACAGAAAAAAATGTAACTGTCTCTTAAAAAGCAATTTTTCAAAAACCACCCCCCTGAGAGTCTAAAATGGTGGCAATCTTACCAAGATCACTTCCCAATTTGGAAAGAAAAACACTGTTATTTCAGTAGCTTAAATTGGTTTAAACATCTCATGTTTATTTGTCAAATATCCAATGATACTGATTGGATATTGGACTGGAGGTTTTCAACCCTGGTTGAGGCAGGATACTGAGAATTAATGCAGTGCTTTTGACATCTAGAGATTCCAGGGCCTCCTCCCAGACTGGAGAATGTGAAGCTGGCAGGGACCAGGATGCATCCGTTCACTGTGCTGAAGGCTAGCACGGTGCCTGATACAAAAGTGCTCAATCAATATTTGCTGAGAGAAGTTGGTATCATGACTCCTTTGGGGAAAGGTCTAGGGAACTGGGGCCTAGGGTTTTAGGAAAACTTACTCTTTACTGTCTTATTCCTTGGTACTGTTTGAATTTTTACCATGTTTATATTTTTTTAAAGGGTTCACTTAATGAATAAATTTATCTGTAACTAAAGTAGCTAAAATAGTTTAAATCCTGTTAAGTCAAAATAGTGATCGTACTGTTTCATTTAAATGTACGTTAATTACAAAGGCCTGCTCTGGAAGATAAAACAAATTTGGTCTGTTGTCTTAATAATATGTCCTAAGCGATGTTGCAAAAGTGAAAATAATAATTGCAAACATTTATTTAGCGCTTACTAAGTGCCAGGCAAAAGTATGAGTGTTTTATAGCCATTAATGCACTTAAGCCTGTTTTAGCAGCTCTATGTGAGGTAGGCATGACATCATCGCACCTTACCCAAGAGCAAACTGAAGCAGAGAGAGAAACTGAGGCAGGCCCCAAAGGCATTGAACTATAAGGTAAGGGATGCAGCTGTGTGACCCAGGAGCCCGCCTGGCGGTTGGCCAGCACACCACACCATCTCAACTAATACATAGAACTGGAAACATAGCCAATCCTAGCGCCCTCAATTAGTTTAATAAATAACTCGTCACAAGAAATTGAAACAAATATTCGCTGAATGAACAGGCCAAGAATCACCCCAGGGAAGCTCAGCCTGCCTCTTCCAAAAGTGAAATAGGGGAGTGGCGGAAGGGAGGACACCCTCGGACCGCCGGGCAGGACGGGGACAGGATTGGCACCCCTGGGTTTCCTCCAGTCTGGTTTGCAGTTTCTGTCCCCAGGGGTCGGCATCTGCTCATCTCAGTGACCTCCACGAGCAGGGCTTTTGGTCTATCCTAGCGTCAGGCTGGACGGGAGGCAACGCATGAAGCAAGTGCCCCACGCGTGACCGACTGTAGAAGGAATCTTGGCTGGCATGCCCAGCCCTTCCTCTGCGCTGCGTCCTGTGCCATGACCTTCATAACAGCCCTGTGAGGGCGGACCCATTGTTATCCCCAATTTGCGCAGGACTGACTTCCTCAGAGTGAGTACCCACCGAGAGAGACAGCCACCGCATGGCCTTTGGAACATGACTCAGCTGATATGCACATGCCCTCAAAGAGCGGCCCCACGGGGATGGGACAGGATGAGTAGTCAGGGGGAGATTTCCCTTGCTCTGTGGCCCTGACCGTTTCACGATGAAGAAAATAGTCACATTCCATTTGTGCAATTAAAAAAGATAAAACCAAAAGGAGAGACCCATTACAGTTCAAAAGGTCTGGAGTTGCAGGGCAAATAGGGCTTTTTCTCCAGAACATTCAGCTTTCTAGGGACACTCATTTGACAGCGTTCCCCATCCTAGCGAGAGAGACACCTGTGCTAAGGCATTTGTGTGGATTTTCTTTGGGTCTTCTGGGGCTCCCTATGGGGGTGCATGCCATTTCAACAAAAGCCTGGGACTTAGAACCCTTGTCCAGAATCCCAAAATGAGAAAACCTGGGATACAGAGAAGGGAGCCTCCAGAACGTGGGCTCCAGTGGCTCCCAGACCCAAGCTGGCAGCTCGCGAGAATCACCCGGTTCCCTGCCGGGCCCGCACCCCGCCTGGGCCCACCCTGCTGCCACGCACCTTGGATGGTCCTCTTGAAGAAAGCCTTGCAGGCCTCGCAGGAGGCCACACCGTAGTGGTAGCCGGAGGCGATGTCCCCGCACACGAGGCACAGGCGCTTGGGGATGGCGTTGAGCATGTACTCGCACTTGATGGCCGAATCCTCCATGATGCCGCCGGCACAGTCCTCGTAGCCCTTGCGGCAGGGGGTGCCTCCCAGCCCGGCGCCCGCGAACATGGGCGGCGAGTCCAGACCGTTGGCGTGGGCGCCCAGGGCCAGGCCGAAGCCGCCGCTGGCGTCGGACGAGCCGCTGGGGCTGTGGTGGCTGAGGGCATCGATGCCCGAGGACGGGCTGGATGGCTCGGTCTTGATGAAGGAGCCGCAGCTGGAGACCAGGTGCCGGTCGTCTGCGGACATCCTGTTCAGCAGCCTGGGGACACAGAGCGCAGGAGTCAGCTCGGAGAGGGTGCGGTGGGTGTGACGCTGTCCCCAGGAATTAGCTTTGGGCTCCGGGCACCGGGTGGGCGGGGTGGCTGGGAGGGGCCCTACATTAAGGCATCGGTGAGATAAAATGCTGGCCGAGAAGGTCAATTGGGCTGAAAAACGGCACAGCCCAGAGCAAGTTTCTGGCATTACCCACCAGAACCTTCTGAGTCCTCCAAACAAAAACTACATTTTGATCGATCAATAAACTTCAGATGAGGCCCCCCAGTCCTTTGCAAATTGCTGGTCTGAGGGTGACAAAAGTGGTAATAATTCAGCCAAAATATTTGGCCAACCTTCTGGCACAACAATAATACATTTGAAAGTCCAGGGGTGCCAGCTCCTGGACCAGATACCCTCAGTACAATGACCTGATGACCCACTTCACCTGAGCCCCGGGGGCGGCAGGTAAGCCCGAGCTTGGAGCTTCCCACAAATGCCACCATCGCTGAGATTGGGACCAGAGACGCCAAGTCACCTGGCCAGGGCAAGAGGCAGGGCTTGTGGCCAAGGCGTCCGCCCAACTGGCTGCCCTCCGGGTTTTGCCTCTGGCCCAGGGCACATCTGGTGGGTGGCCCCCAGGCCCCCTCTTTCATTCCTCTTCACAGCCCGATCAGGCTGGCCTCCCCCTCAAGAGACTGTGCCTCAATCATGCAGCATGAGGAGGCCTTCCAACCCCAACTCCGCGCATCCCCCAGCTGTTTCTTAACCTCAAACTTCAACCTCTAAGGCCCCTGCCTCACTGTAGAGTCAAGGGAGCATTAACAGTGAGGCAGGATCACGAGGAAGGGTCATAAGACATTTCCCAAAACGAAAAGCCCTCCTCCCAGAACCATGCTGAGAGGGTAAGAAGGCAAAGTGCGACCCTCACACATCCTAGCTCCCAGGAGGAGGGGAGGGGCTTCTCTCCCACGTGAGCAAGGAGAGGGAAGGGCCGGGAAATGCATTCAGGAAAGCCCAGCTGCAGTCCTTGCCCAAGAGCTCTGGGCCAGCCAGGCCCTGGAGTCGGGAGGCTGGGTCAGGGTTCATCTGTCCATGTCCTGGCCTGGCTGGGTGGAGGTAAAGAGGAGGCCAAGGCGGATGCCTAAGGAGCAGGTGAAAGTTAATAGGGAAGGGTCCTGCAAAGGTTCGATCCCTGGTCTGGGAAGATCCCACATGCTGCCGAGCAACTAAGCCCGTGCGCCGCAACTACTGAGCCTGCGCTCTAGAGTCTGGGAGCCACAACTACTGAGCCCGCGTGCCGCAACTACTGAAGCCCACGCGGCTAGAGCCCGTGCTCTGCAACGAGAAGCCACCGCGATGAGAAGCCCGCGCACTGCAACGAAGAGTAGCCCCCACTTGCCACAACTAGAGAAAGCCCGCGTGCAGCAACGAAGACCCAACACAACCAAAAATAAATAAATAAATAAAATTGATTCTTTAAAAAAAAAAAAAAAGAGAGGGAAGTGTCCTGGAGAACGAAAAGGGCTGGAGAGGGTGGCAGTACAGCCCCATTCATCGAAAGATGGCCCCAGTGGGGAGGGAGGGAGTGTCCCAGTGCTGGAGGGCCCACTGGGGAAGCAGCCACAGTCCAACGATGGTCAGAGGTAGCCCCTGTTTTCTGAGCAGATCACTGGGGAAAGGATTATTCACCATGTGGGGAAAGGCCTGTCTTACCACACCCACAAAGCCCACCCTCCCAAGAAAACCTTGGCCACACACTTGCACCACCAAAAGCAATCTTATGATGGGGAGGGGCCTCCACTGTCCCTGGTCCCACCAGTGATTTCATAGTCAATACCCCTCCCAGGGCACTGTCCCATCCATCTACACTTGAACATGTCCGGAGGCAGGGAACACATTGCCCCGCAGACAGTTCTAATCAGAAGCTGGGAGCTGCTTCTGATAAAAAGATAAAAGATACCTAGAAGGATCCTACTGTCAAGAAGTTTATTATCTACTGGAATGTAGTGTTTGAAGATAGAGGCTCCCACGTCTGTTCTGTTCCAAACTGAATATTCCTGAGTCTTCTGAGACACCTCTTCTACTAGCCCATCCCTTACATTGGCAGAGGGTACCACACTGAAAGTCTTCTCTGGTGGTTTTTTTTTTACATCTCTGGCTGGTGCCCTGTCATGTCCCCAGCCTCCACAAGGCTACCTGCCACCCCTCCATCCACCAGAGGCTCCCTGGTGTGTTCTCAGGAAATGCCATTGGCCTGAGAAACACAAATGCACCTGTGGGTTAACTCCCCACAGTGCCTTGTGCTGGGCCTGCAGGGAGAGCGGACCAGGTGCTCTTACATTTGTAATCCCCTCCTACTGCTGCTTTAGGCTCTGCAGTGCCCAGGAACATCCCAGGCCCACTGTGACAAACACTGCAGGACAAGGCAGCTCCCAGACCCAAGCCCCCCATCCCACTCCTCTCCCAGGCTGTGAGCACCCCAGAGATTTCAGGAGATACACTTGATATAAGCAGTAATTATAGCATCTGCTATTTAGTGAGCACATGTTATATGCCACCCGCTTCAGATCTGTCCCTTGGAAGGATGAGAAGCTTGTGCCCTGAGAGACGCAGCTGGGGAGCCCTACAGCCATGCCTGGTGGACAGCAGGACACAGTTTCCCCAGCTGTCTTCTCCAGACTCACGGCTCAGCCAGCCCTGAAGGACACTCAGGGCAGGCAGTGGTTTCATACCCTAAGCCACAGGTCTCCCCTCCTGCCTCTCTCCTTATTGGTTCAAAGCCTTCTTTAGTGACCGCTGCCCCCAGGCCCTGGTCAGAGACTCTAGGACCGAGAAGGAAGCAAACTTGACCCTGGCCTCAGTGTTGGCACAGAAATCCACCTACTGGTTTAGTGCCTGAGCCCCAGCTGAGGAGGGTCTGATGATTTCATCCCTGCAGGTGTCTCACTTCTGTGACCATTATTTTGGCCCCTAGAATGTCTTTTCCAGGGTGAGTCAACAAGTACTTCGGGCACCTACCATGTGCCAAGTGCTGGCCAGACAGCAGGACGTGACCAGCGCAGCCCATGATGTCAAGAAGCTCATCCTCTCACCAGAAGGACGGACACAAAAGAAACACACGTGTGCAGAGCGCCAGCAAGGCAGGGGCTGGGGGTGTGGAACACGACACCGACAGGGCTCCCTCCGCCCCCCCGCCATGCCCCTTTGGTCTGGCTTCATTCATTCACTCATTCATTCATATTTGCCTTCATTTTCCCTCCAGGAAACCTACCCCTCCCTCCACCCATCCTTGACCTCCTGGACATTGTTCCTTTATTCAAAAGCAAAATTTAAAGGAAGGACAGAGGGAAAGAAGTCCAAGAAGAGGGCAGAGAAGAAGTGGCCAGAGGAGCTGGAGGAGAAGAGAGAGAGTCGTGGACATGCAGTGAGGAGAGCCATCGCGAGGGAGGTGGCGGCACGTCACGTGCAGCCACAAAGTCAGGTGAAGTCAGGAGTGCAGTGTCCCCTGCAGTGAACAGTCAGGATGTGGCTGGTCGGAGCAGTATCACGCATGGGGGGATGGGAGCCACAGGGCCGGGTCTGCAGGAGGCATTGAACAGCAGACAATCCTTTCAGGGAGTTTGGCCATGTCTGGCCGAGCCGGGCAGAGGAGGGAGTAGGGGTGGCATCCTCCTTGCTCACCTGTAGGCGGCACCATCCCCTTGAACTTAGGGGCGGTGGCGGCAGGGAAGGAATGTTTTTGTTGTTATTGTCCGTAATTTATCAGCCTCTTTGATGAGGAGGGGGTGTGTCAAGAATGTAAGGAATTTAAAAATTACTTTCCAGTTTGCCCTGGGCAATCGTGATCCCACCTACTGACCCCGTATAATTACCCATCGCTCCCCATTACTCCCCAGAGGAGGCAATGAATTCTATGGTGACTCCATGTTACATGCTAATGGTAAAGAGCAAATCAAGATGGAAAGATTGCAATTACAAAAGATTTTTCTCAAATTCCAGTCCAATCTTCATCAGAGTCAGCCAACGTGCTGGTTGAACAGGTAGCTTCCTGGACCCAACCTCACCCCAGTCATATTCTGGACACTCAGCCCTGCAGGAGGGGCCCAGAAATCTGCATTTTAAAATTTTTTTTAAAATTTATTTATTTTAGGCTGTGTTGGGTCTTCGTTGCTGTGCGCGGGCGTCGCATTGCGGTGGCTTCTCTTGTTGAGGAACACGGGCTCTAGGCGCGTGGGCTTCAGTAGTTGTGACTCACGGGCTCTAGAGCGCAGGCTCAGTAGTTGTCGCACACGGGCTTAGTTGCTCCACGGCATGTGGGATCTTCCCGGACCAGGGCTTGAACCCGTGTCCCCTGCATCGGCAGGCGGATTCTCAACCACTGCGCCACCAGGGAAGCCCCTGCATTTTTGGTTTTGCTTATTGCTTTGCTTCCAGCACCCCAGATGTGAATCTTAGGGGAGTCAAGTTTGAATCCTACAGGAATAACACATGCAGTCAGGGGACCTGGTGGGAGTTTGCAAGGTATCTGGATGCCCTGGAAGAGAAGAGAAATGAGCCAAAGCAGTAAGAGCGGGAGGGAGGGTTGGCTGTGCAGAGGGGAAGTTTGGAGGTGGCCTCCCTTGCCCCCCACGTGGCCTCTCCTCACTCTGTGAAATGGGAGGTGAGGTCAGGAGATCTAGGAAAAGGAAGAAAGTTTGCAACAGCAACTATGGGAGGAGGAGAGAACACAAATCAGGGGCGTAAAGCTTTACCAGGCCCCTTAACTCACTCTGCAGGGGCAGCAACACAGGGGAGCTTTGATCTGCGTTTCTCAACCCGGGCACTGCTGACATTTGGGGCCAGTAATTCTTCACTGTGGGCCATCCTGCGCGCTGCAGGACGTTTAGCAGCACCCCTGCCCTTTACCCACTAGAAGCCAGTAGCACCCCCAGCCCCAGATATGACAACCCAAACCTTCTCCAGACACTGCCAGATGCTCCCCGGGGGGCAAAATCGCCGCCAGTT